ATTTTTTATTATAAAGAAAAAAAAAAAAAAAGAACCTGTTTCCCCAGAGTTAAAAGTACTTTAGCAGAATTGAACTCATTTAATTTCACTGACTCCCCGGGAAGAAATTTGGAGAACATATGGACTCTATGTTATAAATAAAGATATTGTCCAGAGAATTGATGTGAAAGGACACAAGACTGTTCACCAAAATTGCTGGTTAAAATCGTAATCCCTTCATGATGAAGCCATGGACATCTGTCCACTGGACAACATACTAGATTTATAAAGACAGCCTGATACAAGATCATTTTTAGATTTAAAAAATCCTAAATAGTTCTCCACTGAAACTATTCAGAGGAATAGATATATGAGAGATCTTCAAAAAAACTGATGGAAAGATTACATTATCTTTTGATTTTTTTGGCAGCTGGCCAATATGGGGATCTGAACCCTTGACCCTGATGTTATCAGCACCAGACTCTCCAAGTGAGCTAAACAGCCAGCCCTGTATTATCTTTTAATTCTATTTTTTCCACAAACTTTCTGAAGTACTCTCCTATAAGAACAAAAAAGAAAAGCAAAGAGGACAATCTGGATAATTTCATGTTCAAATTATTTTGTTTCTTTGAACCACATGACTACATAGAACATCAGAGAATAAAAAATGGAATGATTCTTTTCTCATCTTTATATAATCTGGAATAGTAACTATTTTATCCCCAGGATAAATTTTAAATTACTGTGGAGAGAAGAGAAATGTAAAAGATGGGAACCGCTGCTGAAATCCACACACAGTCCTCAGGGGGAAGCCCAAGTCACCAGCAAACCTCTCCTCAGAGAAGTGTTTAACTGTTATATGTTTAATCCATTTGGAACACCTTGTTCTAAACAGAGAGACAAGAGATTTGCTGTAAAATATTCTACTGCAACTCCCAAGAAGACGACAGTGGGTTAGATGACCAGAGAGACTACTTGGAAACTTCCATGCTTGTGGTGTTTCTGAGTCATGTCTTTAGTTTGGGATAAAGCTGATTTTGAGCGATGTGGCTCATGCTTCAGCAATGTTTTGCTCTAGACAGATGGACCATATGGAAACTATGAACTGGCTTCACAGACAGGACCGTGATGAGCCAATGCAACATTTTTATGTTTTCTGTTTCTATTCAAGTGGTCTAGTGAACAATATATTACCATGTATATTATGTGCCTTTGTTTAAATTCTGAGTAGTGATTATTTTTAATGTTATAAATGTTTTTAATACAGATTTTGGTTTTTTTTAAGAAGAACACACTTCCATTTAACAAAAAGGCCTGAAACATTTTAGATGTTAGATATACTAATGCTTCCCTCGAGGTACTGGCTTCCTTGATTCATCAATAAAGTTGTGGTCCAAAAGGGGGAATAATGATCAAAATCATAGATGTTAAAGATTTTCTTTCCAGCAAGATCCAGGGGTAATTTACAGCACTTTCCTTAAAATTCTAATTATCAAAAAAAAAAAAAAAAGATGCAATTTGCTGAGAACTAGAAGACGAGCATGATCCACTAGATATTTAGCTTGGGGGATACGAAGTGTTCATTCATGGTTTGCTGCTTTAATAATTATTAGAGGAGTAACAAACATTTCACTTCAAGATTAAAAAAATATAGCAAGTTGTTTTTTTTTTTCTGGATTGACTTAAAATTTAACGAGAAAGTGTGCGGATGAAGAAAAATTGCTGCGTTGTTGGCGCAATACCAAGATGGAACAAATGAACACACTTATGCAATTGCATGTTTTGTGCAGGACGTGGGAGGGCTGCAGGATAGCTGAAATTAATATGTGGAAAATAACTGCACTGGTTCCTTAGAGGTATTCAGAAATGATCATATGTACGCACTCAGCTTGTAAATCTTTGCAAAGGCTATGATGAAAAATGATCATATTTCATTATTACAATTAAAATATAGTGGTCTCAGATGCTTTTCTAACAAAGTAAAAATATGAGACCTAGATAATATGGGTACAATTGCTTAAGAAGGGGAAGAACTTAAGGAACTATAATTTAAATGTTTTTTCAAGGAGATTTATTAAAACACAATTACATTGTATGCCTAAGATTAGGAAAGAATAGATGAATTTTCCTCTTTTGGGACAAGCATTGCTACTTTAGAACAAATGTACCTCATTGAACGTTTCCAATTGTGAACTGCCTGCAAAACCTGTTAGATGCTTGACACTACATTTTTAAAGAAATTGTCTTTAAAATACCTTGCTTTTGGGACACAGCTATTGGTGAGAAGCACAATAAACATATATTTTTCATCATTTCAATATGACATGAAACATCTTTCACCCACATCAAATTATGAGCCCACACACCACAAATACAATATCAATAGTAGACTTATAATGCATGGTACAATAAACACATGCTTTTTTAATGAGTCTTATTAGTTTTTACTACAAGGCTTAAATATTTAATGTACTGATAATATCGCTGTTTTATACTGCCTGTTGAGAGAGAATAAATTTGATACTTCTTAATTATGCATCAACTCCTTCGGGTCATTGGAAAGAAAGTGCCATTCCAGATACACCTGCAGACAACCGCAGTGCAGGAAAGAACTCTGCCTTCTGCACACAGCGGTGCCATGCACGCTAAATGCACTTCCAAACATAAGAAATTTGCCTTTTTTTCACTAACAAGATCAACCTAAAAGTCCATTTAAAAAAAATAATTATAAAACAATAAGATAACCTCAAGTGCAACAGATATAGGGTCTTCAGCCCTTCTGACTCTTAGTTTTCATATTCATTTCGCAGGTGATCACTGGGCTAACAAATGAACATTATCTATGGTTTGCTTCATATACTACATGGAGACATAGGTATCAAAAGTTAAAGGCTTCTATAATATTTGCACATCTAACGATGAAGAAAACCACGAAGCAAGCAACATTATAAATATGAATGCAAGAAAAAAAATCTAAAAGAGCAAAAGACAATTCTGAATCAAAACACTTTACAAATAAAACAGCGTCATTCCATGGAAAAGGAGCAACAGTACATCGTGAGACACGAAATCATCTGAAAGAAGCAGCTGTGAATACAAGACACACACAGCACTTCTTCTCTTACTTGCACAAGTATCTGGAGGGGTTTGAAAGGTCTTTCACCATGAAGCACTCTCCTCCATTCACACAGAAAGTTTTCTCCTTCTCGGCGCACTTCACGAGATGGCTTGTCCCGGTGGTAGATGTGGATGTGGCTGGATGGGAGACAAGGAAGGAGAAAGGTTTACATCGATTTTTTCCCCATTTTAAGCAGTCTTTTATCTCAAATTCTCTTAACAGTTAGAGTTAATATAAGGTACCGTGGACCTCACTAAACCTTCAGACTTGACAAACAGCACCAGAAAAGTTAAGTGTTTTCTGTGTGTAAGTAAACAGTGTAAAATGGTAAATGGGGGAGTAAAATTATTATAATTAAATAGAAAAGGGGCTTGACGTTTTTTATAACCAATATTTTATTTTCTAAGGTAATTGGAAAAGAAATGTTCTATTGTTATTAAGTAAAATACATTTTCCAAGAAGGCTCAAAGGCCATGGTATAAAGTCATGTCAACGCAGCTAAATTCAGATGTCAACATTTTAATGGCAACTAATTGGTAAGATTATGTGTTTTGGAAATTATGTTTTATATATATCGATTTTACATGTTTTATACACATTGTGTATTGAAGAAAAACACAAGGTACCGTATTTGTTCCAGATGAAAAAATTATATCTTACTAATTGAATATATAATCACATACAGATCAGAAGCCATTCTCTTCAAAATGCATATTCTACCTCAATTTCCACTCAGAAGAATACTGTTGAACATTGTTTCTATTTCATCAAAATATGACATATTGAGGAAATATAAAGGCAGTCTAATATATCTGCAAATGTGGAATAAAGCCCTACAAAAATTCATCCATTTTGAATTAGTAGAAACACATCTTAATTTTGGTGAATAAAATCTTTATGTGATAAGCTTGATATTTACTTGTCAAACTTCACAGTTACGTGGATGTGGAGTTGAAAATGATCCTGCATTGGGTGTGTGGATTAAACGAAGCCAAACCTCGCAGTCCTGAGGCTACAAGGGCATTTAGCATCAGGACCTCTCCCCACTTACATCATTGCAAACACCATGGGCAGTGCTCAGGCTCATCCAAAAAAAAAGAGTCTAATTTATGTAATGTTTATAACCAGTATTATAAGGATGAAAAGCAAAACCAACATATCAAGCTGGTGAAAATTCTATTTACTCTTTCAGGAAAAAAAAAAAATCCATCTTTAGAAAGAATTTTTTTCTTGTCCACTGACTTATTCTTAAGATTCTTAATTCCTTGTCTCCCTTATCAGTTTTGTTTTATCATGTGCATGTGAATTTCAGATGCTTGTTTACCTTTACTTGACCTGTCGTTTATTATTTTTATATTTTCTTCTGCCTTTCTTTTTCATTTCCTCCAAAATTCTACATTTTGTTATGACTTACTTAATTTCTTCTCCCACTCTGCTTGGTTTTTACTCTACCTGATTGGAATACTCAACCTCTGATTATTCTGTCTTTGAATTAGTCCCAGCCTTTCTTGTCTCTTTATCTCCTGTCTAAGGCGTGTTTTGGATCATTTTCTCTGCTGTCAGCATGGCATTCAGGAATAACAACAAAGGACAGTTGAAATGATTGAACTTTGGAGACAGATCTGGTTCAAATCCCATCTCCTACTGGCTCTGTGTCCTTGAGCAAGTCACTTAACTTACCCAGATGCTCAATTATTCCATTTAGAACACAGGAGTAATGGCATTCTTAGAGGATTTTGTAGAGATTATAAATAATCTAGGTAAAGAATTGGCACGTGTTGGGAAAATAAAGGAAAATGGTCAGGGCCCCTCAGATGTTCAGAATCTTGCCAAGCGTTTGCTGTGAACAGGTTGTGTGTGGGCAGAGATAGTGTGCCTGCGCAGCGCCACCACCTTGGCTGGAGTTTACTGCCTCCCACGGTGGCTGCCCCCCACGTGGCCATGCCTTTCCAATCTATGGCTTCCAAGGATCTGTTTGCTGGTTACCTAGCTCATAGACCTGCGTGTAAAGGGTCTGGTGACCCAGCCTGGCATGTGAGGGGTCTGGTGACCCAGCCTGGCATATTAAGGGTTTGTGACCCAGTCTGGACAATGGGCTTGAGGGCTCTGGGAGCTCCAGACCCAGCCCTAGCTTGACAATTGGCCCAGTCGGCAGGATGACGGGCAGGTAAAAGAGCCTGACAACTGGCGTGGTCGGGTAGCTCCACAGCATGAAACCAGCGTATAATGAATAATAGCAAGTACTAATGGGTAAGTATGGAGAAATCTTAATTTTGCCATTTATCAATCAGATAAAATGCTTGACAGTGGAAATCTGGGGATTTCAAAGATGTATGCGATTCTTGAATCATTGCTATGGATAATTAAGAATTAGATCTATTTTTTTTTTATTACTCCAAAAAAAAAGCCCTTCTCTAAATACACTTCAGGATATCCTTCAGTGGTCTACAAGCCAATCAAAAAGAACGGTGGACAGTGAGGAGAGAGGGGATTTTTACCATCTGTTATCAGCTGTACTTTAACATCTTTATCAGAGAGGGGGCAACATATTTTGCATGGTTGGGCCTGTAAAATCATGGCATAGACAGCATTTCTATATATCACACAGCATACGATTTTAACATAACATTGTACCTTCAGGTGAAAAACTACTTAGGTGCTATGTATTTATATTTGTATTTTAATCTATGGCAATTGCTTTTTTAAAATATTAGGAGGAAGACTGCCTTAAATATTAAAGGTTTTGTGCTTAAGACTTTCAGCTGCTGACAGGATTCCACAGGATGAAGAATTGGACAGGGCATCCTTGCTGCCTCGGGCGAGGGTGCTGAATGGGCCTCCTGTAGCTGCTGTCACTCCTGCAGAGGAGCTCAGAACCTTGAGAAGACCCTAGTGGCATCTGAATCCTTGGCAGGTTGCTAACAATTTCCTCCCCTCCCCCCAAGCTGAGCGCTGCACAGGCACTCTCAGAACCAATGCTGAGACTTTTACTAAAAACAACATTCCCTCCTCCCCCGTGGACACTCTGTATAAATTGTAAACTAGCAAAAATTAGCAGTGTTGTGAGTAAGAGACAGGTATATCATACCCATTCCTTAGACTTGCTCATCTTGTGAGATGATTAGAATAAGTAAGATTATTAAATGTATGTTAAAACTAGAAATAACTTTTATATTTCTCCCTGAAATGATGATCCTTTTAATGCTATCCTGAAGCACCTAGCTCTGACACATTCAGTTGGAAAACTCTTAGATCATTACCTGAAACTAGTAATGGATATTTGGTAGTAAAAGAATTCTTGGAGGGAAATGAAGTAGCAACTCTCATACAGTCATGGACTATTGTCCTTTAGCAGCAGTGAGATCAAAACAAGATCATGAATGGTAAGGCAGCAATTAAGTCCCAGGTGATGCAAAGCGTTAACTGACTGGATACAGCTGCTCCGAACCGAGAGCCAAACATGGGAATAAGCTGCAATTGTCAGAAAACCCAGAATGGAGACGGTGCTACACACACCCTTTAGATTTTTGCCAGGTTTCCTTTCCCTCTCCCTAGTTGAACACACTTAGTCCTAGGCAGGCCTGTAAATTTTACAGTGATATCCTTTCTCTTTGGCTTATACACACTATATTGTTAAATCAGTTTCCACTTGGTAATCATGCCAGAAAATAATAAAACAGACAAAGCAGGTCCTATACCAGTCTATGCAAACAGTGGAGCTAGGGGGAGTTTATTAGAGGTAAAGCTAAAGGTTTTGCAGATAGACCCGACCCCACTAGTTGTTCCAGGAAGGACATGAAGTAGATCTCACTCATTCCGTGCTCAATATATCCTGTCTCCCTCTGCTTTGTGACAAGTTTGTCATGATTTGGGAAGTATCTTCTAGCAAGCACTAAATGATCAGCAATTACGAACAATGCAAAATATGACTCTATTACTTTTATGTTTGCCATTTATATGAACACTTTATCCCAGACACACTTTCCTTGGTATATCAGCAACTATTATAGCATAAGGAAGAAAGCATAAATAAAGCAGTATTGGGCCGGCCCGGTGGCGCACTGCTACAGTGCGCCACTTGGGAGCGCGGCGCCGCTTGGGAGCGCGGCGGTGCTCCCGCCGAGGGTTCGGATCCCACATACAGACTGGCGGCCACTCACTGGCTGAGCGAGGTGCGGGTGCAACACCGAGGGTTGCGATCCCGTTGCCGGTCACGAAAAAAGACAAAAAAGAAAAGAAAAGAAAAGAAAATAAATAGATAGATAGATAGATAGATAGATAGATAGATAGATAGATAGATAGATAGATAGATAGATAG